TCACACAAGTCAACGGTGCGGAGCCGCTAGAGCTGTTCCGCATACAAGCCAATGGGGCTGTACCACACCTGTTGGCCGGCACTTGTGCTGGGGGAGCAGTAATCGTGCAACAAGTTACCTCAGAAACCAGCATTCCAGGGACAAAGTGTCTGAGACCAATGATGCTTCCAGATAAGTTTGACGGGAGCACTTCATGGTCCGACTACCTAATGCATTCCGAGAGCGTCGCGGCGATCACCATAGGAACGAGGCGGAGGAAGCGATGTTCCTGGCATATCATCTTAGGGGTACGGCCCAAGAAGCTCTAGCAGATATGACGCCGAGGGCACGGAAAGACTATTCCTCTATCCAGGGTTTCGGGGCGGCAGCACAGGTTCCCCTACATCGGACTCAACTGTTGATGCGTACCAGGGGCCGCCGTGAATCCTTAAGTAGTCTGGGGCAATCCATTCGTCGTCTAGTTGCTAAGAGCTATCCGAAGCTAACCGCCCAACCTCGCGAAGATTTGGCGGTGGAGGCTTTCCGCAATGCCCTGGGGGATGGGCAGTTGCAGCGACACATTTTTTAGGAGAGCGACCACGCTGACCGAAGCTATCACCCTTGCAACTGAGAAAGAGGCATTCCTCGAGTTTCAGGCGCATAATCGGAAGGGACAAACTGAGGAAACAAATGCCGCCGCCGTCTCAAGGATCCCATGCGGCCATGCCAGTGCGCGTAATCAAAGGAACTGGACGTATAATGCTACATTGGAACAGTTTCTGTCGACTGGCAGGACCTGGGGGATTCGACACGGGGCCAGTCTTGCAGTAACAGGGAGGAACCATTGTTGGGCATGGTTGCAGGTGGTAGCCGATGTAAGACCAATAGACCGGACGAACTCCTAGACGCATTGGACCAAGAAGAGTTAAAGAAGGAACAGCGCGAAGACCCCAAGCTGGGAAGGATTTTGCAATGGCTCAAGGATGGGGGCAAGACCTATCTGGCGAAATGTTTCAGCACTGGACGAGGATGCTAAGTTCTGGTTGGCTAAGTGGGAGATACTGATACAGTTTCAAAGGGTCTTACAGATCAGATGTGAGCAGCCCAGCGACCAACCACCGGCCTGGAAGATCGTGGTTCCACAAGTTAGAGTCAAGGACGTCTTGCGCTCGGCTCATGATAACAAGACTTTGGGTCACCCCACGGGGTATCCCAGACGGTTGCAAGGCTTAGGCAGTCCCCCGTGTACTGGAGGGGGGTGACACGTCAGGCAGAAGAATAGTGCAGGAAGTGCCACGAGCGTGGGTCCAAGAAGCCACCTCCACAGCATCGGAAGGCTCACCTTCAACAATATTTGGTGGGGCCCCGATGGAGCGCTTGGAAGTTTACCTCACGGGTAGGTTTCCGCAAGCAAAGGCAGGGAATACAAGCATTATGGTTGTGGCTGATTACTTCACCAAGTGGTTCGAAGCCTTTCCGATTCCTGACCTGACTTCAGAGACCGTTGCTAGAGTGATTGTCGAGCAGGTCATTACACGCTTCGGTACCCCCCTCAAAATCCACAGCTTTTACAAACG